TTTAATACTTCAGGACTTTAAATTTTCTGTTTTTAAAATAAGATGCGTTTTCAAAGTTGATTTTGAAGTTCTTTTCAAGGAACTTTGCAATTTTACCTAAGCAGGTGGTACTGGGGGTTGAACTGGGGGCTTTGCTTGCTAAGGCAGGTGCTCTACTCCTTGAGCCACTCCACCAGCTCTTATAATTCACATCTTTCTTTTTGAGTGATCCCTGGATTTGAAAATATTTTCGATTGTAGTGTAAGTGACTTTGATTCCTAAATTTCATTGTCTAGTAATTTGTGGTTAGCAGGTAGACATACTGCTAATTTTTGAACCATATTCCTCCTCATCTCCACTTCCCAAGTAGCAGGGATTATAGGCCTGAGCCACTGTACCTGCTAATATTATTTCTTCTTTTGATACTTTGTAGAACTTACCAGTAAACCAATCTTAGCCTAGAGTTCTTTGTGGGAAGGTTCTTAATGATTGATTTGATTTTGTTAACATGTAGAACTATTCAGACATTTGGTTTATTCTTATATCAGGTTTAGGTTCAACATGTTATAATTTTTCTATTCATTCAGTTAAAATGTTCTATTTCCATTAATTGATTATTGAAATGAGTAATCCTTGATTGACTCATTGATTATGCAGAAGTCTCTTGTTTAATTTTTAATTAGCTGGAGACTTTCTAGTCTGCTTATGGCTTCTTATTTCATTCCATTGTGGTTAAGCAGACACTTTGTATGATCTAAGTCTCGAGGAGCTGTTCAGTCTTGATTCGAGGCCCAGCACACAGTCTGTCTTGGTTCTGTGTGTGCTCGCACAGAAGGTGTATTCTGTTGTCACTGGATGTGATAGTTTACCAATGCCACTGAGGTCAGAGAACTGACCACATTACTCAGAACTTCTATTTCCTTAGTAACTTTTTGTCTGGCTATTGTATAAGTTACCGAGAAGAAGGTTAAAATCTCTGCCTCTGCTCACTAGTTTATCTGTTTCTTTTGGTTCTGAATATTGTTTCATGTATTTTTTAATACATGACAGCCCTGCTATCAGGCACATATTCGTTCACAATTATTTCTAGTGAACTTATAATTTTGTTATTATCAAATGTCCCTGCTTATCTTTTTGTTTGTTGAGGCCTTCACCTTGAACCACTTCACCAGCCCTTTTTTTGTGTGATGGGTTTTTTGAGATAGGGTCTCACTAACTATTTGCCCAGGGCTGGCTTTGAACCATGATCCTCCTGATCTCTGCCTCCTGAGTAGCCAGGATTACAGGCGTGAGCCACGGCGCCTGGCCCTGTTTATCTTTTATAGTTCTCTTTGTCTTGAAGTCTCTTTTGTCCGATACGAATATATTCACACAGGTTTCTTGGGCTCACTCCATATGAAATCCTTCATTCTCTTCTTTTATTTGTGAACTATTGTGTTCTTGCGTGTCAAATGTGTTTTTCGTGTACACAAGTAGGGTCGTTTTAACAAGCCTGTCTTTAATTGTAGTGTTTAGTCCTTGTATTAAGGATGTGATTGATATATTTGGTTGTAAATATGCTGTTTGCTCTTTTACTCTTAACTCCATCAGCCACTACTTCCCTTTTTCTTCCATTAAAAAATTAATTAAGGCCAGGTGTGGTGGCTCTTCCCTATAATCCCATCTACTTGGAAGGTGGAGATTGGGAGGATCTAAGTTTGAAGTAGGCCCAGGCAAAAAGTAAGCAAGACCTCATCTCAACAAAATAAACCAAGTCTGGTGGCCTATGCCTGTCATCCCAGCTAGCATGGGGAGATGAATGGTGGGGGGAGACAAGGGGTGTCATAGGTAGGAGAATCACTGTCTGAGGCTGGCCTCAGGAAAAAGTCCAAGACCCTCTCCAAAAAATTAAGCAAAAAGACCTGAGTGTGTGGCTCACGTGGAAGAGCACCTGCCTAGTAAGCACAAGGCCCTGAGTTCAAACTGTAATACTGCCAAAAAATTAATTAAAGGGAGAACTGACAAATCTTTACTCATAACTGAAAGTTTCAATGCCCCCTTTTTAGCAATTGATAAAAGTAGACAAAAAATCAATAACAATACAACAGATCTGAGAAAGTCTATGACACCGTGACTTTATTGATATTTTTAAGACACGCCACCCACCAAAGGGCCAACTTCATTCTTTGCAAGTGTGTATGACAGCTGATGGTAAGCCATAAAATTAAAGGGGTCAAAATTACAGAAGATATATTCATACTCTGATTGCAGTGGATTTCAGTTAGAACTCAATACCAAGACAATGACTAGAAAAATCCAAACATTTGGAAATTTAAAAACATATGTCTATACAATCCATAGGCAAAAGAAGAAATGACAAGAGAAGTTTTAAGACATTTATATCTAATGATAAGTAAAATACAACATATCAAATTTTATAAGATAGAGCTAAACTAGTGCTAAGAGAAAAAGTCCTAGCTTTAAATTTTAGGGAGAAGAGAAATCTAACACCAATGACCTATGTCCTTACCTCAATAAAATAGAAAAAGAAGTGCAAATCAAAGTTTGAGAAGGAAAGAAATAACAAAAACAAGTACAGTAATTGGTTAAACCAAAGATAGATCTACAATAAAGTCAGTAAAATCAAAAGCTGGTTCTTTGAAAATATCAATAAAATTAATACATTTAAGGTAAACTAACCAAGGATAAAAGACATAAAATGTTAATATCAAGAATGAAAGAGGGGACATCCCATGGCCTCTATAAATATTAAAAAGATAAGGAAATAGATTCTTACGAATTTTATACCAAAAACTTAGATAACCTTCATTGAATGGGAAAATTTCTTCAAAGACACAAACTATGAAAATTGACCCAAGAAGAAACAGAAAATGTGAATATTCCTATATTTACTTCAAAATTGAATTTGTGATTTGAAACGTCCCACCAAGGAAACTCCAGGCTCAGAAGTCTTCACAAATGGATTCTTAAAAGAAAATACCAACACTAGACACGCTCTTTAAAAAACAGAGAAGTGTAGACAGTTCCCAATTCACTTTATGAGACCAGTTTTAAAAAGAAAACCAGATGGAGACATTACAGAAAAAGAGAACTATAGCCCAATGCTCCTAATGAACACAGATGCAAATTTAGTAAAATTAAACATATCTATGTTTAATAACCAGGGAAAATGGAATGGAGGTTGGCTACTTTGCGGCACAAAGCCCTAATTTCAAACCCCAGTCCCACCAAGAAAAATTTTTTTTAGACTTTGATTTTTTATACATTTTTCATTGTTTGAATTCTT